CCAAAACAAGGCTTCCTAGATTGACCATCCAACTTTCATGGTGCTTTCTGACTTTACTATACTAATCTGTGCTTTTTAATTCTCCTTTATAAAATGGTACTTAATAAGGACAATGAAATAAATCCTAGAGAAACAAATTTATAGCCAGTGCAGAGTTTTAAAAATCACAATAAAAATAAGATACAGAGCTACATGCACTGACTGCAATTTGAAAGTTAAAGAAAATATTGAATGCTTCACGACTTGTTTCAAGACCTTGTACTCTGAATGAGAAGTTCCTTGAAAAATTATTGACATTGCTATGTAATAGACATTGCTCATAATACATAAGCCTTTGATGGCTAAATTAAAACAGTATCATTAGCCCTAAGTCTTTCCTTTTTAACTGCTATTTTTTAAATCTTTTTTTTTTTTGTATTCTTCAGCCAAAGATATTCTGGTACAAAAACAAAATGGATCTGTCTGGGGATGCCAAATATCGCATGTTCAGCAAGCAGGGTGTGCTGACCCTGGAGATCCGTAAACCAACTCCATTTGATGGTGGTTTTTACACCTGCAAAGCTGTTAATGAGTGTGGTGAAGCTGAAATAGAGTGCAGACTGGATGTCAGAGGTAATCAGACAAATCTTGCAGCTATCCTTAATTCTACCATGAAAAATGGTAATGAATATCTCAGAGAAGTAACAACTTGCCTTTATTTTAACACCAACTTCTCTGGTATATGCAAAGTTAATTACACACACAAACAAGATTGGGTTTTTCATGCCAAACCGTTATGACAGAATTGGGTTATTTTCCAAGAAACGCAGGACTGGAGATTGACAATTATTATGCTCCGAGTTAATAATCCTAGAGAAAAAATTTAGCACTGGTCTGTCTACAAACCATGCACTGTGGATTAGATAATTATCCTTTAAGTTATATGCTGTAATTGAAAGTTTAAACTTCCTAGAAATAACTCGAGTCATTATCTGCAATAGCCTCCAGAAATACATAAAATGTAGTGCATACTACATTGCAAATATTTTTTAGGTGGGCACCTTATTTTTTTTTGTCAAAAAGACCAGGAAAAGAAGCTGTACATTTACAACACTATAAGAAATATTTTGACTAAAATTTTTGGGAAGCCACTATATGTATAGCACACGTTAAGTGCAGGTCAAAAAGCAGAAATATCTGTCAAAGTGACCTGTGTAAGGGCCAGTGCAGAATTCTGGCTTCAGAACAGGGAAACTGAAGGTATTTTTGCACAGCGTAGAGTTTGAGATATTTTGCTCAGAGCTCACCCTGTACTGTACAGTATACAGGGCACACAGCTGTGCTGGCCACCAAAATCTTTGCTTGGGTCCTGGAAACAAGCACAATAGCTGCATTCCTACTATGCTGAACTTGAGCCAGCGGTCTAAAATACCCAGCTCATGCATGCAGCACCTTCCTGAGGCAGCCATGCTACTTCAGATGAACAGTGAGCACCAGTATTGCTGTTCGGTGCTCTGCTGTGCAGTACAGCTAGTATATTATTACAGTGCCCCAAAAAAGGAACCCCTCAAAAATGAAGTTAAGGTACTGTTCATTCTGTAAATGAAGGCATGCCTTAGGAACCCTAGAATCTTTCTAGAAGTGTTACAGCTAAAAATAAAACAAGTACTACAAAGCATCCATATTTCACCTGCAGCACCAGGTCTGGTTTTTAATTAGCTTCCTTTAATATCTGATTGTATCTTCTTCTTTTTTTTTTTTTTCCCATCCTCCAGCACCTCAGTGAAACTGTGAATTTCATCTCATCTGCAAGTCAAGGTATGAATCAAAATGATTCAGTTAGACAAATGAACTCTGGCTCTGCGCATTGGCTTAGATATAAGTAATTTATGGAAGAGAGTTGAGGGAACTTTGGTAATCTTGAGGGGGTGCTTATCCTGTTTTTCTTTTCTTTTACATAATTATACTAAGATCACATCTCCACAAGGCAACTTAATTGATTTATACTGAAATCAAGATTTAATATTCTCAGTCTTTAATAGGCTGTGCACACTGTAGAAATCCGTGCAAACGGCGCAATGATTTGACAACTCTTTTCCCTTAATTCACTGCAAGCACTCCCTCTAGGATACTGTTTGCTGTTTATTAACACAGAGCTAACTAGAATCTTTGATCTGTGAGATAATTTTAAGTCATGCATCTATTAATCTTTAAATGATGCATCTAAAAGTGTAACATACCTTTACACTTTTTAAAAATTAAACTGCTATTATAAACAAGCAGTTAATGTGTTTGACAATAAGCCCTTCTCTTCATTTTCTCTCAGCATTGGGAATGAAACTTGAAAAGAAGAAAAATGAAGAGATGCATGAAGGAATTTCAGTTACATTTAGAATCCTGCTCATCTTATATCACTAAATACTTGAGTAATAGGAGGACAGGGTATAGTATTGTATCCTACTCAATGAGCAACTATTTTAGACAGTATTTCCCTGTTCCCATATATTTCTTCTAGTTACATAGCCCCAGTTTCCAGGTGACAAAATTCAGGGAAGGGAAAATAAAAAGCTTTTCCCTATTAAATACATTAGACATGTCTGAACAAACATTATAATTACATAGGAAATCAAGCCAATCCTAAAGTTTGCAATAACAGGAGTCCTCAATTATGCAGTTTTCTCCTCTGGATTTCCTCTTCTGGATTTCTGAGAATCTTCATCAAGGTTGCTCAGAAATACTGAAATACTAACAAATTATTTGTAATACTCTTTCAGTTTTCATTATATTGATTTCTGCAAAACAAAAAGTAACTTTCACTCCTGCTCTTGTTGTTAATGGTTGAAATACTCACTTCCATGCCCCTGTGCTGACCTTTGTAGATCCACATCTCAAACACACCATTTGACAATCTTTAATTTAAGCTATTGTTCTGCCTAATATAGAAAATAGTTTCCTTGGTAATTACTCACTGTTGATTTTCTATGACTTTTTTAAAGACACCAATTTAAAGATCCAGTTATTAGATGTCTGCAGTACTGATTATAGCTATCACATAATAATTTACAGAGATAGTTCTGTACATCAGATGAAACAATCCAAGATGAAGTGAAGAAAACTACCATAAATAAAAGTTTTAAAAAAAGAGCCTGTCATGAATACAATAAACTTACTGTAATCTAATATCATGAAAGGTTTTTGAGTAATTTATGAATGGTTTCATATTTTTCCAGGTAATAAAGTGAAACTAAGGAGTTTCTGGCTTCTCACCTAATAGTTTGAATAGGAAAATGTTTGTTTTTTTGAACTGCAGTAGTTGTCATTAGTTTCTGGGTGGAAATTGCTTTTTCATGAAAGCACTGAAATAGTAGACAGTAAGAAGACAAGATTAATGCAGGAAGCATTGCTTTTGGGAAGAATCAACACAAACAAACTGAAGTAATGCTCCACACTTCAACTACTCTGCTGCGTTCAGTATGCTAGTCAAGATGGGAAAGTGTGTCTCACACAGCATGTTAATTGTACTAAGCAAGCAAAACAAACCTTCATAATAAAAACACTTATGCAATGAGATGTGTATTTTTGTTATTTTCTTATCGTATCAGAACGCAGAAGAATACCAGTCTTTCATCGTATTCAACTATGCAAGGTGAACATGTCTGCTATTAATTCTTATTATTCCAAGAGTGAACAAAAGAAGGAATGAAAATATGGAAACAAGTTTATTTTCTTCTTTTTCTTCTCCTAGGCAAGAGTATTGTTTTAAAAGCAAGGTATATAATACACAGTCAGAGACATGTTCTCCATAAGGAACTTATTAGCAGAATGTTAAACGGAGGCAGAGGATCATCCCAGCGTCTACAGTATGACAGCGTCTACAGAAAAGCAGATTGAATTGCTGGAGTTCAGATTACAAAGGACAGTTTATCCTAAAGAGAGTTAGGTGCTTTAACCAAATATATTCTGGTACAGAAATGTGTTTCGTGAAGAGAATAGATTGTTGTGCTTTAAAATGATGCAATAGTGCAAGAGCTCACAAAGATAACATGTCCTTAACAAAACACAAGGACAAAATAAGTCCTTAACAAAAAAAGAAAGTGGCATTTTCAGCTCAATTCTTAGCTGTTCAACATGAATACAACTATTTTTTGTAAAGAGCACTATCTTTGCAAATGAGCATTTTTTCCTCCTCAGCTGTTAGAAGTATTGCAAATTGATATTTTCATTACATGTTAGTTTTCATGAAATTTGATTAAGTGGTCTTCAAATATAAAATTCTGCTGCTTTATATATATAAAGACCACAAATTTTCAGTGCTCACAAGTCTACCTTCTACTGCTTAGATGTACTTGTCAATGAAAGAATGGCCTTTGAAAAATGGCTAAGGTGCTCCATTTATAAGTATACTTCCTGCAGCATAGATCCAAGGAGTCATAACATTAACTCTACAAGATGTTCTAAGATAATTCTGTGCTTCTACAAGTTAAAACGTTTTTTTCATGTAACATTTTCAAATGACGAAGAGTAAACCCAACCCAAAGCTGAACAGTTACAATATGGAAGCACAGTCTAGTTAGGTTTCTAAAAGTATTTCTAAAAATCTGAATTCTAAAAATTCAAAATACTAGACACTCCTTGCACAAGAAGGCAGAAAGCTTGCTGTTTGTTAAAATCATACACAGAAAGGCTGTCCTGCATGACTACCAATGACCCCTCCATGAGGAGTGTCTATGGCAAAATGGCAGGGACAGCAACAGCTGTTAGACAGGAACATGAGTCGGAAGAGTGTGTGTGAAGGGGACATTCAACACTGTTGGGGAGGGCGTTTCCTCAAACTGATAATGCTGAGGGAAAAGATGCGTGTCAGTGAGATTAAACAGTAACCTTGAAGTACCTTGGAGAGACCTTTGAAATGATGGAGGAGTCACCTTGAAAAGAACCATCAAAATAGCAAGAATATTTGCAATAGTGGATGAAGGGAAACAAGCCCTGTCTCCAGAGAGGTCTGACAGAGCTGCCTCAGACAAGGTGAAGAGTCTGCACGCACATGGTTGGCTCTCAGCATGGGTCAACAAGCAGAGACCCACCTGGGATGTATGTGGCAAACATGGTATATCACATATCATATCATAACGCATCACCATTTGCAACACACACCACAGAGCTAGTGCAATCCCAGCCCTAGCAGAAGGCATGGGTAAGAGGGGGGAACCTGCGCTCGCAGAACATGGCGTGTGTTTGCACCCCACGCTGCCCGTGCGCAGCGTGAACTGCTTGTGCAGGAGGAGGAAAGGGGAAAGGATTATTTAAAGAATTTATAGAAAGGTATAGAAACTTGTGTTTATTAAGATGTTGTCAGGGTTTTGCGTTCTACGTTTTCCATTGCTGACACTGCTCTTGAATGGATACTTCAGTGATTGCCCATTAATTCCATACTGTAAATAAATAAATAAATAAACCACTTTAATCTTAATCTAATCAAAATGAATAAACTGAGCAGTTTTTTTATGTGATCAACATCATCGCCAACCTACCTGGCTAAAGAAAATAAAGTAATTCACTTTTTTTTTTTTTTCCCCCCATTGCACACAAAAGGATACTTAGAAAATAATGATTTGGACCAATCCTTTTCACATGTGAGTTCTCCTCTGCTGCAAAGTTAGACTGACCTGGGGTATCTAAATGTCATGGCAAACATTCTTACCTTATAGTTACCCCTACGGTATCCTCTGATGCTGTTCTCTGTCCAAAGGAGAATTCTTAAAATACACAAAATTCATGCACACACACACTTATTTTTCTTTATTATTGTTAGAAAGAAAGAGAAAGGTATCTCTGTGTTTTGCAAAAGTGCAAGGTAAAAATCAAGAATAAAAACAATATTAACATTTGAATACTCCATAAAATTTAAAAACTCTTACCTACCTGTATTTGCTTGTAATACAGCTTTACTTTTAACACAGCTGTCTTCAGCTGCTATCTGAAACCATAGCCCTTTGGTCATTTTCCCAAGACATAAACTCCATTATTGCTCAAGCAGAGCAATAATGCCCTACTTGAGAGCACAGAGCCATCCTAAAAGCATATGTAACTTAGACAAACATAATAATATATCACCTCTTCAGACCTTTCATCCAAAACTAATTTGCTAAAAGCAGGAAAGTGATACTCCTAAGACAGAAATAGAAGCACTATAGAATTTGTCTTGTCAACATAAGTAGCCAAAGTTAATAACAGTAAGAAAGAGAGCTTATGAGGTAGAAAGGAACAAGCTGATAGCACTTACACGTCTTTTAAGAACATTATTTTGTAAACTTTTATTCTAACAATACAGACAGGATTTTTAAAAGCAGAGCTATCAATCATGCAACAGTTTTCTCAGTTTTCTACAACAGCAAAGCAGTTTAAAATGTTTGCTCAAAGGACCATGAGATATGAATTGGAAATTTTATGAGAATGAGTCATAATGTTAGTGTTTTCCTTTCTGAACTACCTGCACTGCTAAATTAGGGTAAAGGAGAAAGTACATTACTTGCAGTGGAGATCTCCAGATTTTTCCTCCCAATTACAATCAAAATTGATTACATTTTTTTTCCTTCAGATTTATTAATAGTTCATTAAGACTTCTGTCCAGTGGCTGTGAAACTGATTTTACTTTTGATGTTACCACAGTTCCTATGTAAGATTAATCCAAAATTATTACCTGCTGTCCAATTTGAGATACACATCCCTTCTTTAAAGAAATTACTACTAATATCAGGAATGGAGATACTTAGATAAATAACTTAAGACTCAGCTGAGCACTGGGGATTTTGCAGAGTATTTGTAATTTCATCCTATATTTCAGCATTATCATCTAAATGGAATAAGGAAACAGACTACTTGCTCCTGATAAAGGGAAGTTTCACTTAATAATCTTAATAAAAATTAAAATTAAAAAAATAAAAAAGCAAGAGGCAATAAAACTGAGAAATGCAAGCAAACCTTACCAGAATATTCCTTCCTTTCCTGTTACTTGCAGCTGCCTTATTCTACATCATTCTACAAAAGAAAAGGAATAGCAAACTGAGTTAGTGGTTTGACCAACACTTCATCACAGTAGAATAAAAAAAAAGGTGTATGAAATTCAAAAGGGAAACTCAAAAAGCCTAAGTGTAACTAATGGGGGAAAATATTAATAAAAAAC